AGTATATACTCCTACTGCCTTTATACTCCTCTGGGGATTCACTCGATCCCTGCTGTCTATACCTGACATATGCTTCCTTCTTATTCTTGACCAAAGCCTGAATTTCTGTATTAATCCAGCATTCCCTGCACCTACCAGCCTTGCCCTTCACCCTAACAGGAACATACTGTCTCTGGACTCTCATTATCTCATTTTTGAATGTTTCCCATTTTCCAGCCGTCCCTTTACCTGCGACATCTGCCTCCAATCAACTTTTGAAAGTTCTTGCCTAATACCATCAAAATTGGCCTTCCTCAAGTTTAGAACTTTAACTTTTAGATCCGGGCTATCCTTTTCCGTCACTATTTTAAAACTGATAGAACTACGGTCACCGGCCCCTAAGTGCTCCCCCACTGACACCTCAGTCACCTGCCTTGCCTCATTTCCCAAGAGTGGGTCAAGTGTTGCACCTTCTCTGGTAGGTACATCCACATACTGAATCAGGAATTTTTCTTGTGTACTCTTAACAAATTCCTCTCCATCCAAGCCCTTAACACTGTGGCAGTCCCAGTCTATGTTTGGAAAGTTTTAATCCCCTAATATAACCACCCTAATATTATTACAGATAACTGAGATCTTCTTACAAATTTGTTTCTTAATTTCCCGCTGACTATTAGGGACTGTGTAATACAATCCCAATAAGGTGATCATCCCTTTGCAATTTCTCAGTTCCACCTAAATAACCTCCCTGGGTGTATTCCCAGGAAATATCCTCCCAAAGTACAGCCATAAAAGAGGAAACTGATGAAGACGTTTTGTCCAGAACACTACCCTGCGGAACTCCTGCAGAGATGTCTTTGGAGCTGAAACAGACAAAAACAGAAATTGCTGGAGAAACTCAGCAGGTCTGACTGCATCTGTGGAGAGAAAACAGAGTTAATGTTTCAAGTCCAGTGACCCTGACATCAAGGTGTTAACTCTGTTTCTCTCTCCACAGATGCTGCCAGACCTGCTGAGTTTTTCCAGCAATTTCTGTTGGTTTCAGATCTCCAGTATCTGCTGTTCTTTCTTTTTTGACCTGGAGCTGAGATGACTGACCTCGAAGAACCACAGCCGTCTTCCTTTAGGCCAGGTGATACCACCTGTGATCAAACGCTACCACTTACACCTTCACCTTTGGAGATCAGCTGTTTTGTCCATGCTTAGATCTGGGCTGCAATGATGTCAGGAGCTGAGTGACCCTGGCAGAGCCCAAACATCAGCGAACAGGTTATTGCTGAGCCAGTGCTGTCCTATACAATGCCCTCTGCATTACTTACACATTGTTTTCTGGTCTTGCTCTACAAATATTTCTCCGCTTTTTTTTCCAATTTTGGTTTCCTTCAGCCTGGAATGTGTCTCAGCATTATGCAAAGCCTCATCTCATCACTCTTTTACTGGTTGAAGATCTCAGAACCTTTTCTCCATTCATTCACAGGATGAGGGCATTGCTGGCTAGGCCAGCATTTATTACCCATCCCTGAGTGTTCAGATGGCAGCTGAGAGTTAACCACATTGCTGTGGGTCTGGAGTCACGTGTAGGCCAGACAAGGTAAGGAAGGCTGACTTCCTTCCTTAAAGGATGTTAGTGAACCAGATGGGCTTTTCCTAAAAATTGGCAATGGTTTCACAATCATCATTAGGCTCTTACTTCCAGATTATTATTGAATTCAAACTCCACTGTGGCAGGATTCAAACCCAGAACCTCTGCACAGCCATAGGTTTTTCTGGCAGCATGTTTCTCCTCTCTCAGCAGACATGCTCTGACAGCAGGATCTCATGTCTAATGGGTTTTTATGGCAATCAATGGTCATTTCACAGTCATTGTTCCTGAGACTCACTTTATGTTTAAGATTTACAAATGGGTGCAGCAAGCCTAAAGCTGTGAGAATAGGGGTATAAATTCTGCCAGGAGGGCCACTGGATGGTAAGGGTGTAGCTCAGTGAAGTGTAATTGTCCATCTGGACCAGTGGAGCTAAACAGCTTTCAGGAGCTGATTCATTTCTGTTTATGGACTGGTCTACTGAGGGCCTTCCTGTCTCTCGATCAGGAGAAGGTGTTTGACAGGGTCGATGACGAACATCTGCTCAGGACTCTGCGGGTATTCAGGTTCAGAACGCAGTTCATCACCCAGATCCGACTTCTGTGTGCCGTGGCGGAGTGTCTGGTTTAAGTTAACAGGTCCATGACAGTGCCCCTTTGCTTTAGGAGAGGGGTACATCAGGGCTACCCCTTGCCTGGCCAGCTGTGCGTGGAACGTTTCCTGTGCCACACGGGGAGGAGTTTGTTGGGGCTGGTTCTGCATGAGCTGGGCACAGGCTTGTTCCCACAGCTTACACCGACAATGTGCTCCTCACTTTCACCGACCTGGCTGACTCGGGGAGGATGTGACAGTGCCAGGCGGTGTGCTTGGTGGTATCTTCCACCAGGATTAACTAGGCTAAACGTTCCGGACTCCTGGTTGCTCTGTGGCCAATGAACTCTCTGCCAGAGGAGTTATGGGGGTTCAGCTGGGTCACCCACCCATCTCCTCTATGTGGAGTTCTACCTTAGCCTGGCTGAGGGATCCTGGCGGGGACAAATTGGCAGGAGCTGGAGGCCAGAGGCTTGGTTTGCCCCAGGACGCTGGACAGGCCTGTTCCGAGCGCTGGTCATAAACCAGCTGGTGGCCTCCATGTTGTGGGAGCGGATCCTCCCTTTGCTCCCTCCTCCTGGTTTTGTCGCTAACATCAGGGAACGTTGGTTCGCTTCTGCGACAAAAAGCCACATTGGGTCACGGCACAGGTTCTGAGTCGCCCTATTGAGGAGGGGTGTCAGTCGCTGGTGTGTGCCCGCACCCAGATGGTGACTTTCCACCTTCAGACCTTGCAGCGATACCTTTATGTTGAGCCTCCCCCTCAGTGGTGCCCGCTGGTGGTGTATTTTTCCCGCCAAGTCCGTAACCTACACTACGACACACACCTCCTGTTTATCGCCCGTGAGGGTTTGCAGGTCACCCTCAGGGCACTGCCTGTCTTTTACCAGGAACCTGATCACTGTCTGGGACATGGTCGGCTCGCGTCACACCTACCCCCTGGCAGGATTGGCGGCCATCGTCAGAGAGACGCTGATCAGGAACCTGCACCTCCACGATCGCAGGTTCGAGTGACTGGCAGAGGGGAGGGCCGTGGCTGTGGGGGTGACCAGTGTCGGGGACATGCTGGGGGGTGGGGGGCCTGGGCTGGATGGTGCCGCAGGGATTGGCCAGCAGGGCGGCAGTAAACATCCGGCTCATGGCCGCTGCCACCTAATGCCTCAGAACGATGGTGTGCACCAGCTGGAGGATGCTCAGGTGTGCGGTGGGATCCTGTC